CAAATCAAATGAGACTACTTAAGTAACACCCTTAGTAAATTCTTGACATATAGTAGGTGCTCAGTAAATTATAGCTCCTCCATTTCTCTTCAACCACTAAACTCCTTCCCATTCTTCATTCAACAGCCATTCAAAAATATTCACTGTCTACTTTGTGCCTGGAATTGTTCTAGGCACTTGGAAAGCACTAGCAGACATACAGGTAAAAAAAAAATCCACTCCTCAGGAAGTTTATATTCCTTAATTGTACCTCGGCTCTTCCAAGTTTGGGTTAGAAGCCACTTTTTGTCTCTGTCTCTGCCTTCAGCGCATTACTCTACTGCAGTAACACTGCTTCCCTCTTTTCTCACAGTGTGGGCACCATGAGCTCAGACTCCATACCTGTCCTGGCACCACGGTATCATCATTTCCTAACAGTGCATGCTACCTGATGGACACTGCTAAATATTTGCTGAATGAATTGATGATGGATAGATGGATAGATGCATAGATGAATTGTTTCTGGTTTGCTTTATACCTCAATTTCTCTAAGAAAAAAAAAAAAAAGCTTAGTTTTGTCCAGAGTTTTTACTTCTTTGAGAAATCTAAAGATTCTATGCAGACCGAAGGAGCACAGTGGCCAGTACAAAAGCACTTGGCAGTCAAGTTGAGAAACAGAAGTTTCCCTGTTCTTTCTTCCCAGCCAGATGCATAAGGAACTGGCCATGTAACTGTGTTGCCGGACTCCCAGAGTGGGTCACAGTAACTGATTGAGGGCTGGTGGCTCGTGAATCATATCCTATCTTCCACTTGCTGTATCTCAAAATTTAGCCAGCTTGGATGAATGTCTGAGCGCTAGAATTCTGCCTTTGCCTTATTACAGCAGAAGGCAATACGGTGTTATGGTTGAGAAGGTGTTATTTGGAATTAGATGTGGGTTTTAATCCTGGCTCTGCCATTACCAGCTGTATTAGGTTGAATAAATCACTTTTCTGAGCTTCAGCTTCTCCTCTGAGCTTTTCCTCATAAATATTTGGCAAGGCACTTAAAGTAGAGAGAATACTCAGCAAATGGTTGGCATTATTGTTATTTTTATTATTATTGTCCACACACTACACAATGTAGTAGGGCATCCCAGTGAATCAGTGAGGTCCCCTCTGGGTACTGATTCTTTTTTTTTTTTTTTAATTATTTATTTATTTATTCATGAGAGACAGAGAGAGAGAGAGAGAGAGAGGCAGAGGGAGAAGCAGGCTCCCAAGGAGCAGGGAGCCTGATGCGGGACTCGATCCCAGGACCCTGGGATCATGACCTGAGCCGAAGGCAGACGCTTAACCATCTGAGCCACCCAGGCGCCCTGGGTACTGATTCTTAAAAACAGTCTCTGCTAAGTCCCTTTTACTGGCTTTTTAAATGTCCCTTTTACTACAAAAAAAGTGGAATGAATCACCTGTCACCTAAGAATGATGTCTACCCACAGAGACGAGTTTAATGTGTCGCCCCCCTCATTTTACAAAGAGGGAAACTGAAGACCAAGGCCACAATGCAATGTGTCTGAACAACATACGGTGAGTTAGTGGCAGAGTCACTGCTGGTCCCCTTTTCCTCCACCAGTGTCACTTCTCATTCAATGGACGGGTTTCCATGGAATGGAGAAGTTCCACATTTCTTCCTCTTCCTGGCCAAAAGTAATCAGTCTCCTAGAAGTGTCCATTGGGTAAGCACAGAAGCCTCTCCCTTCATCAATGTCATACCTTGGGAAACTACTCCAGTATAGATAAAGGAAAGAATAAATATTTTTGTTGAGAGAAAAAAATGAAGACAAAGGTCAAAGGGAATCATGTAATGGGTTGAGTCAGGGAAGAAAAAGAAAGCATTTTTTTTTTCTCTTTCCTCTTTTTCTCCAAAACAGTCTTTATATAGAACTTGTATAAGAGCCAATTTATTTGATATGGAAAAAATGTGAAAGCAGCAAAATACACCACACACACCACACCACACCACACACACACACACACACACAAAGAGGTATTTGTGTTGGAGTTCAGAACTCAAATTACCAAGAGATAAAGGGGTTGAAATGGTAGGTTGACTTGGAATGATGTTTTACTTTTTTTTAGAGACTCAGAGAACATTCAGGTCAGGAAACGTAGCTCAGCCTAGGCCTCCAGTAAATTCCTTGGGACTCGAGAAAGACACAGAGGAAGTCAGTGAAAGCCTCAGTCTAGCCCGTGTGTCTGAAACATCAGAGCAGGGCCTAAGAAAGATTTGTTGAGTGAATGAAGGAACAAATGGAGCATAAGAGTGTGGGTCTGAATAGTGGTGGTTCTGGAAGCAAAGCGGCACAGGACAGGGTGTTCTTAACCACGTGGTTAAGGGCTTCAGCACTGAAGTGTGAGTGTCTGCAGGAAAGGAGCCGGGTCATCCCGGAAATATCTAGCTCCCAGTGAACACTCTGGCACACAGAATGTTCTCAAAACAGATTTGTAAATTGAATGAGTATTGGGAAAGAGACCTTGGAAATCCCTGAGCCTTAGAGATCACTTACAGCAGCGGCTATTAAACTGTAGCCAGCATGAGAGTCATTTGGGAAGACCCCCTATTTGAGTTTCTGATTCAGTCGCCTGGGCTGGGATCTAAGGACTTGCCCTAAGTTTTCAGGTCTTGCTGCTGCTGGTCTGAGGCCCTACTTTGAGAACTGGCAGTGGCTCTTAAACATGGTTGCACATTATAATCATCCAGTGAGATTTTAAAAGTTCTGATGGCCCAGCTTTATCCCCCTTACCGATTAATTGAGTACCTGGGGCGGTGGGGGGTGGGGGATGGGGTCGGAGAGGGGTTGCTGGGGAAACACAAGAGATTTTAAAATGCCCCAAATTTCCATGACATGCACATAACTTTGAGAACCCCCAGTCTAGTACACCGTCCTCTTTATAGATAAAGGCCCCAGAAGGCCAGAAAGTGTAAGTGACTAGCCTAAGATCCTAGAGCAATTTCATGACTATCTGGGAATGGGACTCAGGGGGCTCTCACTTCTTCAGTTGAATTTCTACCTGTCCATATTTACCAACCCAACCCACGTCAGCTCTTACAGGCGCACAACTCCAGGCAAAAAATGAAAGCTGTGTTTAAACTGAGAGTTTAAGGCATCTATGACTTCTTCTCTCCATTGTTTTATAAAGAAATTTTAAGTGGATGCATATTTATAGAACTTTACCACTCTAGACAAGCAAGAAGATGAAAGAGACAGAGTTGTGGATATTTTCAAGGCAAGATGATCCTTTAAATTTTAAGTACATTCTCAAACACAAACCAAGTGCTCCCTCTGAGTTCTTGAACAGATGTTCTTCATCTCTGAGTCAATGAATGGGCAAGGGTCTGCTTGTGATGTGCACGTTAATTGCTGGCATGTAAAAGGGAGTGCTGGTAAAGTGTTTGAAAGTGGTTCTCTCTCTTAAAAAGATTAAAAGTTTCCTCCAAAATTTGGTTTCTATTAATGATTGGCTCAGTAAATGTTTTCATGTAGACAGAGCAGAAATTGGATCTTATATCATCTTAGAACCAAAGAAAGTGCCACAAAAGGTGCATAGAAACCATTGACTTGAGCTTTTTCATCACACAGGAGAGGGAAGTAAGGCTCAAAGAGATTGACGGATTTATCTAAAATTAGTAAGTGGACTGGCTGGAGCTGAACACAAGCTATCTGACTTCTGAGCTATTGTTCTCTCCAGTACTCAAAGTGTTCCCGACCCATATCCCTTGCACATAGTAGATGTTCAACAAACGTTTGGTGATTAACTTCGTAGACTCTTGGTACCCAAGTTAGTTCGGTTAGATTAAGCAGAAGTGGAAACCACATCTTTAACTGAACATTGGTTGAACGTACTGGCTTAGGAGTTAGGACAGAACCTTGATCTTACCACTCTCTAACTATGTGATCTTGGACAAGTGTCTTCACACCTCTAAGCTGTCATTCCCTTCTTTGTAAAACAAGAAGGATAATTGGGCTGTGGTTACGGAGAGGATGAAATGAGTAAAAGATGCAAAGATCTCAGCCCACTGTCTGGCATATAGGCAAAGCACTAATGAGGTCACTGTAAGGTGGCCTCTTTCCTAAAACATAAATCCTGAGGATGTTTGAGGAAGAGGTAGCTTGAGAAATGAATATTAAGGGCAAGCACTATCTCACATAAAAGCTGTGAGTATCCCAGAAGTCTCCGGGAGACCTAGAGCTGCAAGGGCTCTTAAGGATCAAATGGGTTTGAACCTCTCTTCCACTTCAGAAAAGGGAACCAAACAAGGACTGTGACTACTTATGTTCACCTTCCAGGAACATTCTCATGCAAATATGCAAAAACACGCTCAATTTCTAGGCATCCTGCTATAACTTCACGCCCTTTCCATTCACTGAAAAATCGATCATAATGCACAAATCTTCTTCAATTAAATATAAAAACGAGGGGAGCCTGGGTGGCTCAGTCAGTCATTAAGCGTCTGCCTTTGGCTCAGGTCATGATCCCAGGGTCCTGGGATCGAGCCCCACATTGGGCTCCCTGCTCAGCGGGAAGCCTGCTTCTCCCTCTCCCACTCCCCCCCTTGCTTGTGTTCCCTCTCTCACTGTCTTTCTCTGTCAAATAAATAAATAAAATCTTTAAATATATATATATATGTATGAAATCATTAGCAAACTTCAGTTCTTCCAATTTCATGAGTAACACATGACTTTCTCATTGCTAATCTTACTCAGCCTCTTTGATTTTATCATTGGGGAAACTAAGAGAGGTCTGGGAGTCTTAGCGTTACATTAGAGCTCTCACCAAAAATCCAGGCTTTCTGGTTCCTTGTGCATTGCCATTCCCAGCATATCAACCCTGCCATGTTAGGACAACTCTACTGTCAATGCGAGGTTATGAATCCCTAGAAGTAATGAACCTTCTTCTAGGGCAGGCCTCTCTGAGCCTCCTTACATTCATCTGCGGCCCACCCATCTGACCATCTCCCTATCCAGAGAGTGCACTTACGTGTCCGTGAATCTTCTACTGAGGTGTAGGAGGGAGGCCACATCCACGTGGAGAGGAGGGTCCCGGACCACCTTGTACTGCAGGGGCTTACACTCTAGACAGAGCGGGCTGTCTGCAATGGAGGTCAACATGGCCGCATCAATCTCTAGGTGCTCATCCAATGTGTAGATCTGGATGCCGTATACCTCCTCACCCACATCCCGGAGTTTGATGGTCAGTGGGACATCGCAGAAGACGTTCTGAGGGCCCAGAGAGATGTTCTTCCCACTGACAGTTAACAGTTTGATGTCATTGACAGCCCCACTAGAGTCCCAATCAGTGGAGACAAAGGTCACCCAGATGGTTAAAGACTCAGGGACCAAGGGGTAGCGGAATTCCAGTTCAAGGTAGCAGCCTTGTGGCTCAGGGCAGGCTGGAGGGACTGTGTGTGGGTTGACAGCTGAATTTGGGCTCCAGGTGCGGACACTGGACTTACAGGGCTGTTCAACATCTGGATGACCTATGGAGAAGAGATGAGGGTATGAGTTCCTGAAAGCCCTGTAGACACTAGGAGAGACTGGCCTGACTTGAGCTCAGAGAGAGGGGAAAGGAGAAGGAAGATTCTCAGTGTTCTAGTGAATCAGCTGTATGCATAGCACCCAGCTCGTCTCCACCCCTGCAATACAGATCTTGAATGAATCACCAAACATTTGGTCAAAACTACATTCAATAAGTATCTTACTCTTTAGTGAATGCCCCATCTTTCCTTCTTCATATCCTACTTGTAGGCTTTGCTGCCTTAGATGGAAAGAAGGGAGGGACATACATTTGCCAAATACCCGTATGTCCCCTGAACTTGCTTACTTCTTGCAAAGACTCATCTCAGAGGTGAGGCAACTAAGGCTCAGAAATGTGGAGTGAACTGATCAAAGTCTCACAGCTTGATGTGAAGGTCAGCATTAGAACCCAGTGTTGTCTCATCTTGAAGTTCATACTCTTTATTTTCCCTACTGCATGCAGAGGCCACTAAAATAAACTAGGATCCCTGCAGTATTGCTTTCAGTACAACCTGCATGAAATGACAGAAGAACCAGAAACCTTCGGCAAAGAAGAGGTGAGCACAGATCATTTCTCCCCTTGGACTGAGGATTCTGGGAGGAAACTGTCTAGAACCATGAATGACAGAGCTGGAAGGCGGCCCTGGAGCCATCTTATCTCTCCTCCTCTTAAGCCACATGAGGTCATTCCATACCACTGAGCTCCTCAGAGCTCTGTCCAGTCTGACTCAGGAAGGGGAGGGTTGGGTAAGGTGCGGGGGGGTGGGGGGGAGAAGGAATGAGGGATTCTTCTACTTTTTCCCTGGGGAGACAATGCCTCATCCCCACTGATCTCAGCCTGCAGCAACTTCTGAATTTTTCTCTGCTGAGATCATTAGTCCTAGACCCTCAGAGAGCTCTCCTTTGCACTGCTGAGAAAAGTAATCAGGACTCAGTGTAGTGATTGGCTCTAATTTGTTTAAGGGAGTCTAGCAAGAGATACAGATCAGCTGGTGATGGTAGGATGGAAGATCTCAAATTGTCCTATTAGCTACATTTTTTTTTTCTTCTTTTACATCGCTGGTTGGTGGGAGGTGGGATGCTGGATATTTATAAAGCAAAAGGGAAAAGGCAATCTCTTGTCTGAAATGGCTTTGTGGTACTGTTACAGAATCATAGGAATCACGATATGAAAACCAGAAAACCATTTTGGGTGGGAAAGCTACTACAGTGAAGGCTATAAAAATGCCTCCAATCTCTGAGTCTCTGCCCAGCCAAGGGAGAAGAGAGAAGACACCAAGTGGAGATGAAGAGAAGAGAAAAAGGAAATAAAGGGAGGGGAAGAGTGTGAGGAAAATTCCAAAGACTTTTTAGATAAAACACATCAGAGCAGGAAGAGATGGACAGAACTACAGGATTCTCTCCAGCACTCCTTGGCAAGGTCCATCCATTATCTGCAGCAAAGGCTGGTTAGAAGTGACCAGTGGTTTAAGTCAAAGCCTCCCTAATGAGGCTGAAGCTTTTCTTCCTGTAGACTCTCCAACTCACTGGAGTTCCTGATTTTCTTAGCTTTGTGGAGTACTGGCACATACATATCACTTATTCACAGAGCTTTACTGAGGGTAGCATTTTAATTTGTGTGAGGCACATTCCCTAGCCATTAATTTATTCATCTGATTGTCACCAAGATCTCATAAGACAGTTATGTTTTTGCCTCTTATCCCTCTGTTTCACTCAATTTCAGGTAGCCTTTATTTACTATAGTGCCTGGTCCACAGACAGTGACCAAAGCAGACATTCAATAAATGTTTGTGAAATGAAGAATCTCCTATCTTGTTAATATTGGGTTAAAAAAGTGAGAGCTTGGGGTGCCTGAGTGGCTCAGTCATTAAGCGTCTGCCTTCAGCTCAGGTCATGATCTCGGGGTCCTGGGATCGAGCCCTGCATCGGGCTCCCTGCTCAGTGGGGAGCCTACTTCTCCCTCTCCCACTCCCCCTGCTTGTGTTCCCTCTCTCGCTCTCTCTGTGTCAAATAAATAAATAAAATCTTAAAAAAAAAAAAAGTGAGAGCTTCATGGAGCGTTGACTCCTGCTGACAGGGAGCACCCGGTTAGCACTCCACCCCTTCACACACTTTGTCTTGGACCTGTCAAGGGATGGTGCCACCTTTCTCCCTTCCGTGGAGAAAATGACTATCGGTGGTGGGAGCCACAAGAGAGCAAAGATGACAAGTGGGTTTGGCTCCTGTCTTCTCCCGAGTTTCTTGTTAATCAACAGAGGGACCAAATGCTTTCCGAAAGACAGGAAGGTGAGCCTGGACATGACACTCAAGAAAATAAACAGGAATGGAGATCTTAGCAAAGCTTGTGCTTGTCTGGTTATCAGAGATAAACTTTTACATGTAAAAAAAGAGCCTTGGGGGTGTGCTGAGTCCAACCATCACCAATGCAGCAACCCCTTTACCCCTACCAGGTTCCACGAACTGACCATCCCCTAGGCGCGCGGCACTGCACCCAGCACGTTACGTGCCTCAGCTCTCTTCGTCCTGGCAGTAAGTCTATGGCATAGGTCTTACAAAAATCATTTCACAGAAGAGGGAACTGAGACTCCAATGGTTAAGTCACTCCCTGATGGGGAACAGAGTATATGTGATACTGTTTGTCCAGGCAGCATGCCAAGCTTTGAAGCAATGGAAGCTGGGTTACAGCATCAGCTATACAGCTTCTCATCGCATCACCTACTCTGACGATACTTAGCTCACAGGGGTGCTGTGAGATGGGATATATATTATCGAATGGGATGGGATTAGTAAATGCTCACAAATATTTAGCTTTGTTATGAAACATAGGGAAGAATTAATAGGGAAAAGCTTGGGAGCAAGAGGTAGTCCAAGCAAAGAGAACAGCTGAGAGAGAACGGGAAGGAAGACGACTATGGTTTTGAGCACAACGGGAGAGTGGCAAGAGATGAGGCCAGTAAACTAAACAGAACCCAGATCACAAAGGGCTTAGAGGTCATTTTAAGGAATCGGCATCTTATACCAAGAGGGATGGGGGCTGGTGAAAAACTGTAAGCAAACAAGTGAGAATTGTCTTTTAGAAAAACCACTGCTCAGAGTCATAGACACTACCCATCCATCTATGTATTCATCCATGTATCTATCTGTCCTTCTGTCAGTCCGTCCATCCATCCATCCAAAGAATAATTATCGACTGCCTGGTCTGTGTCCAGTGTTAGGCTAGTCCCTAGAGAAAAAGTTTCTACGCATACGGTCTCTGGCCCCATGGAGCTTCTAGTCTAGTGACACCAGGGGAGAAATGGCTGTACTAATGTAGATAATCGTACCTGTGGCTTGGACAAGGGAACATCAGAGGAGTTGACAACTAACCACAGTGCCTAAGGGGGAAAAAAGAACAAGGCTGGAAAGTTGACCAGGCATGGCTGTGAGGCAGGGAGAAGGGCAGAGGAAAAGGGGAAGGGAGGGGAGGGGAAGCAAGGAGGGAGGGAGGACAAAAGAAGGAAGGGGGAAGGAAGAAAAGCGCAAAGGTACTGTTACTTCATTGTTAATACATACCCTTTTGTATATATGGTGACTAAGCGAAAGGTTACATGTTTATGTAAGCTGTCCACTAGAAATGAGGCCATACAAGTGTGTGAAATATATTTATACATACTTATGCTGATTTAAATTTACGTTTATGAAGATCCATACAGACATCTATTATATATCACTGCAGCTGTTGACACATTATATAGTTATAAAAACTTGGTGCCAAGTTTTTTCCAGATGAATACTTCAGTACACCTGAAATATTCTAGGCAGAAAAATGGGGAAAGGACTCACAGAAATATAAAAAATGAAAACAGCTAGTGCCAGGTGTTCCTCTCTCATGGAAAACCCAACATTGCAATGCATTATATGTTTGAAAACATGATCTTAATTGAGATCTGAGTTGACGGGGTCTAGCTATCAAAGTCCTAGGTAGCAAGTGCCCATGGTATTGAACACCTCAGGAAATATTCATCTATGAAATATAGTTTTTGCTCAAGAGATATGAAAACAGGGTTTCTTTTGCATTCAACCACTTTCTGTGGCCAAAGGCAAGAATTTCTGTGACTGTATTTACCTGAAGTTCACGGAATAGAGTTAATGGAAGATAGTGGATGTGCAATAAATATTTGTTAAATGAAAAAACTTCTATCTTACTAATATGGATTTAAAGAAGTTACAATTCCATGGAATATTAGAGCTAGAGAGGACATTTATACTGTGCATGAGATGCTCTCTTCAGAGAAGCTAAGTGACTCATTCAAGGGTACAGAGCACATTGATGGCAGGGCTCGGACCAAGGTCCAGTCCTCTTCACCACCCCCCTCCCCCACCCCATACTCTTTCCCTAACCCCAAAGATATGTCTGGCATCGCTCATGGATTTGGGAGTTTTATGTTAGTTTGGGAAGTCCAAAAACTTAAACACGCAAAGATAAATAGGATGAAAATGAGTTGAGAAATAAATTGCAGAGTTTGGCTCATGGAAAAGTTTATTTCTTCAAGGATATTAAAAGGGTCTGAGCCAAAAGGATCACAGAGCCTGTAATAGGATGCTCTAAAAAAAGAACAGTGTCTTTTCCTGGCCTGCATGCACTAAATTTACATATCCTGAAGGAAAACCCAAGGCTGCTGGGTTTCCTTGCATGCCTGAGTCAGCTCAGGGAACCAGGGGGCTCAGCACTTCCAGATGAGCTCTACTCTGCATATCATGCTTTAAGACGGTCAGGAGCAAACCATTAATTGACTTAACCAATTGACAGTTGGGTTGGATGGAGGTGTGGGGAGATGTCTGAAAATTAATTCATTCATGTAGCACGTAGAACAAACCAAGATGGTTTTAGCCAGAGAAGTCTTGGGGGACAGTCTTGCTGATTCCACCTCCCAAATATCTCTCAATTCCATTGACGTCTCTCCATTTCTCAAAGCCATGGACCACACCCAGGCCACCACCATCCCTCTCCTGGATTCCTGCAACAGCCACGCAGCTGCTCCCTTTCCTCCAGCACACCCATCCCCAGGCTCTTCACCACAGAGCAGCCCATGCAGTCTTTATAACACACATATTGCACCATGCCCCAGACCCCCACCAAGGCATGTGGTAGCTCCCTGCTGCCCTCAGTATAAACCCATCCTCATTCAGTCATTATAGAACACCCAGTCCAAACTCCCCCTGCTCCACACCTCACGTTTCATGCTCCAAACCCACTGAAGCTCTCATAGCATTATTGAACAGCTTTCATTTATGTGGGTCACATCTACTGGTAGTTACCATGTTATAAATGAACACTGAGGAACTTTAAACACAAGAACACATAAGCATGTGCTTCGTTAGCTATCAGAGCAGTAATAACATCACATTCCACGTAGCCACTGGAAAGCTCCACTGCTCTCTCAGGAGAAAATGGGAGTGAAAATGGTAAGCAATATCATAGCATTATTATGAAAATAATTTTGGATTTTGAGGATACCCTAAAAAGTCTCCAGGAATCCCATAAGCCTCCAGATCACACTGGAAAAAAAAAAAACCCACTGCTCTAAACATACCAAACTTTTTTCATGTTCTCAAATGTGCCTTACTCGCTGGGGTGGTGACTTTTCCCAGGTGGTCTCAGTTCTGGATGAGGTCAGCTTCTTCCTAATTCCCCTGGCACTCTGTGCTTCAGTTATCATGGGCCTTGCTGCACTCAGTGGTTGATGGGAACCACCCTTTTACTCATCCGACTACCCTGTTAGATGGTCAGCTCTCTCTTGGCCATGTACCAAGCATGGTGCCTGGCACATAGCTCCTATGGTGGCCATAGACGAGACTGGTTCACTCTGCATGGACACAATCTGTCAGCTGGCAGGGACATGAGCTTTCTTCCATGAGAACCCAACGTGGGTTCCGTTGGGATAGAAAAGTCATGATTGTAGATTTCGGGAAGAACTTTCTAACAAATGGGGTTAGAATGGAAGGCCCAGGAATGTACATGCTGGTGCTAGGAGAGCCTGGGTGAGGGAGGGCACCAGGGGGATTCCTGCACTGGGTGGGAACCGGGGCTAGATGAGCCAGGCCCCCCTTCCAAGTCTGACAGCCTGTGATCCTGGGGGGCTGAACTGAGGGCTTCTCCCAGACATCCCTCTCACTTTACATTCCAGATGGATTTGTTTAGAGTTCCCGAGTTCAGCTCTCATTTTTATTTTAAGCTACTTTAGAAGATAACAAAGTACAGTGCTGTCATTTTTCTCCTTCACTCTCCTCTCTGATCCTTCTCCCTTGCTTTATTCTCTGGCTTTTTCTTCTCAACCTTCTTTCTAAAAATATAAAAGAAAACGGAGGGAGTTCTTGCTGAAGCTCAGGGAGGAATCAGATTCTGCTCTCTCTGATGGCTGGTGTCCCCACCCAGGAACCATGAACGAGAGCTGCCCTGCACAGGAGCAAGAGACACTGGGGGGTGGAGCATAAGCTCTGAGGGCATGGAGAACATGGGGTCTCTGCCAGCTGGGCTTCGGGCACTAGAACTGAGCCCTAAAGAAGGGGATATTGTGGAAGGAAACTGAGTAGGCAACTTTCCACGAGGTTCTTTAAGTTCCAAGTGGCTGTTGTCGGGGTCAAGTGCTGGTGGAACAAAGCATTGTGCAAAAGGCACTCTCTTAAATTCTGCAGAAAACCCAGTAAGTCTGGCAGCGAGTGAGGCCATAAGAGAGCACAGAGACTGCTGGCCCCTAGGAGGGCCTGGGAGATCCCCGGGAAGGGGAGGGTCCGGTCATGGGGAGAGCCCACCAATAGTGGCAATGATGAGGTGCTTCCCTCCAGTGTCTTGCTGACAGATGGATCCCAAAAAGGAGGGTACATGGCAGAAAACTTCAAGAGGGATATTCATGGCATGTGTGTGGATGTCCTGGATCTTCCTAGCAACAACTAAAGAAAACAAAGACTACTGAAAACTTGACCCCTCCCCCAGGTATGTGTGCTGATTCTAAGGTGATCTTCTGTGCACCAACAGGCCATCAGGGTCTGGAGGCACACATAAACGCCATGTCTTTATCAGATGTGTGGCCTCGGGCACTTGTTCAATATCTCAGCATCTTTGTTTCCTTGTATGTAAAGTGGGATGACATACTTAAGACAGTGCAGGAGTTCAAAGGACATGTGCTGAATCGATGCATGAATATTGGCCTTGATCTTGGGCTGAGGGTGCAAACTTCCAGTTGTATGATGAATAAACACTGGCGTTCTTATCTACACCATGGTGACTATAGTTAACAACACTCTATCATATACTTGAAAATTGCCTAGAGGGTAGATCTTACATGAGCTCACAAACAGACAAACAAAAAGTGTGAGATGATGGATGTGTTAACTAACCTTCTTGTGGTGTAACCACTTTGCAATAATACATGTATCAAATCATCACTTTGTACACCTCAAACCTATACAATGTTATATGTCAATTATGTCTCAATAAAGCTTGGGGAAAAGCCAGAAATAAAGTAAATTGGCCTTGCCAGGCAATCGTAAGATCAAATGAGATAGTATGCAGAAAAGATTGTTAAAATCATAAAGCTCCATCTACAACAAAAGAGTTGTTCTTTGCACCCCCAATCTGTAAATGAGCTTCCCGACTGGCTTACCTTCTGCTTCTCGAGGGCTCCAATGTCCTGATGGGCCACAAGGCATCGGGGAGGAGGCATTGATGGCATACTGCACCAGGATTCTCCCTTCCAGGCAAAGGTGACATGCTGATCCCAATTCTCTAGGAGGCCAAGGAAAGAAGGGAAATGCACCGACTTAGGAACAGTTGAATGAGCTCCTGATCTGGCTAGGCCTAAGGCACCAGGGCAGAAGACATAACAATTCCTTGCTACCCCCATCCTCCTTATCCTTGCCAAAGTTTTCAGAATACGACCATGAGTGAAATTCCTCCCCATTGCCCAGCAAATATCTTGTTTGGACTTATGTGGCTTCTGTCCTAATGGTAGATGCACTTCTTTAATTTCAAGCAGTACAGAATCAACAGGCCAAGGACTTACTACCCATACTAATCTTAGTTTCATCAGACATCCAAAGCTCTACTGAGGATTTGATGTGTGGTTGCGAAAAAAATCTTTAGCTCCATTTGACCTCAAATTTTATTCTTTTAACAGTGTTCGTTGGGTACCTCCCATCTGCCAGGCACCATCCTGTGTCCTAGGTATTAAATAAAAAGAAGGCACGATTCAGTTCCTTCATCTGAAAATGAGTTGGCTGAACCAGATGATACCTATAGAACCTTCCAGGCCTGACATTCTGGGGATGGATGAATCACCTCTGATTTAACAGTCAAAAGCAGCTTCCTTACCATGGCATCTAATTCATTTTAGCAGCTTTCCAAGGCGCAAGCCAATCCCTTGAAGGGAAGAGCTCCAGAAGTGGAATATTATGGTGGCTTCCTCTACTGTCAAGTGTCTTATGTATCTGGATTCAATCTCCCCTTAAACAACAGCCCCTGGGATCTTGCTTGTTCTCCAGACTTGGCATCTGTTTAGAAGGCAGCTGCCAGGAGGGGAGAGGGATCAGCCCATTATTTCTCAAAATGCCATGGTCCTGCCAACACCTTTTTCATCATTCCTAGAAGGACCTTTATCCTTTAGCTACCTGAAAGATAGAATGGAGGAGCCTTATAGCTTTCCCTTCATAGGGAAGCTCTGTAGCCCCTGGGTTCACATGGTAAGAAAGAGTACACTGGTGAGCATCAGTCTGCTGGTGTTCCCTGTTCCTCCACACAGCTGCCAGGGAGCTCATCCCCAAACCTATAACTGAACAGATCATTCTCCTGATTATCTGCATATATGGTGGCCAACATATGCAGAAGGACAGATGAATGGACAGATGAGTAGATGAGTGGATGAGTGGATGGGTGGACGGGTGGATGGGTGGGTGGGTGGCTGGATAGATAGATGGATAAATACCAGTCACTCAGACATGTTGCTAAGACTCATAACTAACCTAGTCTAGACTCTCAAATTGTAGATTTTGCATCCTCAGCTTTATCAGTGTTAATATGAAATCATACATAGGTAGAAATTTTGCAAATACATTAATATCCAGTGAAAGGAGAATGATGAAATAGCCTAAGATTACTACGTTCAATGAAATGGTAAGCAGTCGTTAAAAAAATATTCTATGAAATCTCATGGAAAATGTGTAAGATACAATGTTCAGTGAAAAAAATCATATTCAAAACTGAATTTAGAGCAGCTTCTCAATGCTGTCCAAATAACTTCAATATGACAAAATATCAACAGCAGTTTCTGGGTGGTGGAATGAATATAGGATGATTACCCTTCCCTTTTTATTCCTTCTGGTTTTCTGAATTTTCTATATATTTTGAATATCTATGAATTACTCCTGGACTAGCAATAATAATAATTATAGCAATACACTTGCAGGTGGGGAATGAGGAGCGGAGAAAGAGACTTCCACACTCTGGAGGGCAGAGTTCCATTACAATGACCACAATCCATGCCTAGCAGCTCAGGGTCACATGACTGGCTCTATGATGACAATTGGATTATAAAAGTTCTGGGATGGAGTCAGGAACCACATGGACCTTAATGGCCACTGAGCCTTTCTTTCTGCTTCTTTAGATTCTCTGTTTTAGATGATGGTCATATAGTCCCCTGTATATCAGTTCTTGACACATCCTAGGTTTCTAATAAATACTTTGATGAGTGACTAAACCATCATCCACCTGACAGTAAATATGCCTTGTTTGCACAGAGCTCCACAAAGTACCTTCCCTCATATTCAGTCACTGATTCACATATTCATTCACTATTTCATCTGTTCATTCAGTGAGTAGTCATTGAACCGCCTCTAGTTGCTAGCACTGTACAAGTTCCAGACTTTGACTACCCAAGGGGAAGAAAATCAGGTGTGCTTGCAGCCAGGTGGACAGTACATAAACAAATAAGTAAACAGATAAAAAATTATGGGTTCATTAAGTTCTAGAAGGAAAGTAAATGGATGATGTAGGCAAGAATACGGGTGGGGGAGGTACACTGGGCTAATTAAAATTGAAACAGTCATGAAAGACCTTAGTGAGGGGATGTCATCTATGGTGAGAGCTGAAGGATGACATAAAGAGTGGATATAAAGCATTCCAGGGGCAGTCTCAGGTATGTAAAGGCCCTACACAGGAAAAGGCTTGGTCTATAGGGATCCCAAAGGAAGTCTGAGTGACAGGAGTTATGAATGAAGGAAGGAGTGCTAAGAGAAGCAGCTGGACAAATAGGCAAGGACCAGATCATGGAGGTCCAGTAGACCACCCGGAGATTGTACATAAAAGAATTGGGAAGACACTGGAGCCACTCGAAGTCAGGGAGTGACAGGATCTAATTTACATTTTAAAAAGACTGGTCTTCATGCTGAATGGAAACATGGATTGAGAAAAGGACTAAAGTAAAGGCAAAGTAGGCAACTAAATGCAATGGTGTGATTCTGGGCAGTGGGTGATGTTCCCATTTCACAGATTAGGAAATAGAAAATCATGAGTACAAAGTAATCATGCCAAGTTCATAGCTTGTAAAGTCATTGAGTAGATACAAGCTTTACCAAAATCAGGCAGCATCCTACACATCCAGGGAGTATATGTTTTCTTATGTTTGGCATTTATTTGATTTTTATTCGCACCTGTATCTACATAGACACACAATGACACACACACACATACACACAGACACTGAAATTACAGTAGTACAAGATGCTAACCCTGGAAGAGATCATCTTTCTTACCCACCTTCCATGAGAATCAAAGCCTAAAGCTCAAGTCTGTGCTAATAATACAGCACCCAGCAGCCACATGGGGGTCTCTGAATTTCAATTAATGAAAATTAAATAAATTTAGAAATTCAGTTTCACGCTTGTCACATTTCAAATGCTCCATAGCCGGTTGGCTAATGGCTACCATATTGGACAACAGAGACACAGAACATTTCCATTACAGCAGAAGTCTTATTGAACAGTGTTTCTTTAAGATATCCACTGTGTGTGATGAGTTAACTTCTCTCCTGTGCATCTAGAATGGTACTCGTTATGCACCATTCCTGGGAGAATTGAGAAAACAGTTACTCTAGTCATTTTCTGTGTTCTGAGATTTGGAATAGGGAGCTTGGCTGAGAAAGGCCAGATGACCTTTGGGTTACAGATCAGAAAACTGAGGCCGAAGAGGAGGAGGAAATGAATGAGGTTGCAAAGACTTCAGATCCAGGTCTTTTGGGTCTTAGTCCAGAATTCTTTCTAATACGCCACTGCCAATTGTTCAGATAACTGAAACCATTCAGTCAACACATGTTTGCAAGACAGATAAAAATAAAGGAGTTAGAAAAGCCAGGGGTGGCCTTGAATTATTTATTCAGTTGCCCATGTGTGAGGACACAGGCTGTGGGAGGATCTGAATATGTTTTCTTAAGGAAAACCCTTGTATTCTCTTAGACCACAGATGTGAGGAACAGCAGGAGGACATAGGGATAGCCAGGGGCGAGAGGTTGGCATTGATGGATGCAGTGGAAAACACCAGAGATTTTGCAGGGAAAGAGAATTTTCAAGTAGCTAAACAGCTCTGGGAAACTTTGTACAAGATGGGAGCTAATATTTCTTAAACATAGAGTGTATGTGCTAGCAGATCACAGATGTCATGTCTCTCGGATTCCCCACAAAAGCCAGGCAAAGTGGGCACAATTATGGAAGAAGACTCAGAGGGTCAGAGAGAACCAGAGAGGTGAGATGGCTTGCACAAGGTCCCGCAGATCAGGAGTGGTGGGGCTGAGAACCGAGTGCAGACAACTTGCCAGCAAAGTTTGTGCACTCCGCACCAGGCCAGTCTGCATGAATATAAACTCTGAGGGCATGGGAGAGTGATAGCTCCATGTCTTTACAGCAATTTATTGAACTTGCTGATCGACTTCCTTTACCCATAGACTATGGTCTATGTAGCTGTTAACCCTAATTAGACATGTTTCTAAAACGTCCGTTTTAATTTAACATATGATAACTCCGTTATGAAATCTCAGACTGAACAGAATAGCTATTGTATGAGCCTCAAGTACCAACTGACTATAGGTTATTAAAAACATATTGATTGAAGCTGAGGGTACTATGTAATAGAGACATATCTCATTACACAACAATTAACCCTCCAATAGGTTTCCAACAATCAGATGGTATTTATTTAATGGACAATAACTGCTTTATGAAATACAAATTAAATACATACATGGGAAGCTTCACTTAACAAAACTTCCATTTTTAAGTGGAACTGAGGCCAAGGTTTGACCAAAAGTCTGATACTTCTCATCGCCACAGAAAAAATAAATAAATCTACAGGCTGCTGGAAAGTCTGCTCTGAAGTGTCACATGACGTTTCCCAAACCAGCTCTGAGCTCCTAGTGAGGGCGGCTGGGGCAGGGGAAGGCAGGGGTGGGGGTGTGTGTGGTGGTTATAGAGGGCCAGGGAGTGCATTTCATTCCCCCATGAACACATTCACCCAGCTGCCAAACAAAGGTTCTAGATTCAGGGACTGATGGCAGTGGAGAAAATTAGAGCCCAAATTTAATGTGGTACCATGATCTGATATATATTTGTACGTACACACACAGGCACATGAGAGCTCCTTACCACTTTTTGTGGCTCTTTTGAGGGGAGGGGTAATACCTCCTTCATACTTTAAGTTTTGGAAGGACTTAATGAAAGCACGTGCAGCCCGAGACAAGACGTTGCAAAATGTGAGTCAGAGCCCAGCTCCCAGCACCGTCTATGGGCTCTTGGTCAAATCTCCTAGCATCTTTCTCTCTAATTCCTGCCTTACCTGGCAAATGAGGAAGATGATTCCCCTTTCTATTTTTTTTAAAGATTTTATTTATTTATTTGAGAGAGAAAGAGAGAGAGAGAGAGCATGCATGCAAACGAGGGAAGGGGAAAGAGAGAGAGAGAGAGAGAGCATGCATGCAAACGAGGGGAGGGGAAGACAAGGAGGGAGAGGGAGAGAATTCCAAGCAGACTCCATGCTGATCGCAGAGCCCAATGTGGGGCTCAGTCTTGCAACCCTGAGATCATGACCTCAGCGGAATGAAACCAAGAGTCAGATGCTCAACCTACTGAGCCACCCAGATCCTCCCTGATGATTCCCCTTTCACAGTTACTGGAGACTCTGCATATAAAGCCTTAATACAGAATATGGCCTGGAGTAAGGACTTGATAAATGGCAACAACCATAACCACAGAGAATTATTAGTTAATCATTAGCTGGTTATTACTTTCACCATCATCAATGCTATATCATCACTACTGGACAAAATGCCCCTAAGGAAGGCTGGGATGGGGGCTAATATACTAATAAGCCCTAAATTATAGCCAAGTGCAGATGTCATCATCTTAATCTGTTTTCCTGACTCTTCAGAATCTGTTTCCCTTAAAGCTTGAGCTCCTCAAGGGGTCTCAATGCTGAAAGGCACCACAAGAGACCTTTGGATTCAGGTCCCTGCCTTCAGGCCACTGAGGCATCATTAGACCCACTTTCCTGTGGGAGAGGACCAGTTAAGGAGGGAAAGTGACTTGCCCAAGGTAGTACAGTTAGTAAGTGAAAGACAGGGGAGCAAAACTCTTGTGCCTCAGTTTATCATCCCTGATCTTCCAAAAATTCTACCCTCAATTCTACAACAAAGGCCTAGGCACAAAAATTCTAATTATATGTATTCATATATTCAAGTGTATTCAAGTATGTGTATTCACATATGATGTATGAATATATACACATACACACCTTCATATATAATATATGTTACACATCTATCACAATTGTGCTTTGACCAGAGGCAATTCCAACTCCTGAGCTCGGGGAGAGGAAGCCAGCATCTCTATCCCAGAGGATGTTCCGGCAATAAAAGTTTCCAGGTGTTTCATAATAAAATAGAGCCAAACATCCATTCATGGAAAGCATGCATCTTTACATATTAATTCCAACGAGCACTCGTTCATTTATTCCCTGACACAAATTGACCATGTGTTTCTATGGACCCGTCACCGCTAGGTGCTAGGGGTCCTGATGAACAAGAGAAAGGACGAAGAAAACAGCTTCCCTTCAGAATCTCCCTCGTCTTGGCAGGAAAGAGAGGGATCAACACCGCACAGGCCACACTCACCTTTCAAAGAAGTGGCCATCGATGGGTGGAAACCACTCCAGCGTCACCGACTCAGTCGTGTGGCCCACAATCTGGGGGGCCAGGGCGACAGGAGCCGGCTTCCTGGAGGGCTGCCAGTTCTGGTAAACCAGGTCCAGGTAACAGTGCATTCTGGCAACTTGATTGGGCGTGAAGGAGTCCGTGCAGTCGTCATCTGCAAGTGGGCAGAGGGAGAGATAAGAAGCCGCTGCATGACGTCTGCCGGAGGGGTCGGCCAGCCAGCCCCCCAGCCCTTGCCAACGCAGAGCTGGCCTCTTCCAGTGCTCAAGAGCTAATGGTCTGTGAAGAAGTGAGTGCAGTCATCACTTCTGGAGGCAGGTAAGAGGGAACAAGAGGGAGGGGAGGGTGGATGGGCCGCAGTGGCCCAGAGGTCATAGCTAAGGACAAGGGCCAAATGGTTTTCCACGTCCCCCCCCACCAATCCCTGGTCAGTAAGCCATGCTTTCCCTTATGCCATCCCTCCCTCATCACTCACCCCAAATCTTCCAGTCATTCATTCCTCCACTTGTTTAGTCACTCACTCATTCCTTCACATTCATTCATCTGCTCATTCATTCACTCTGCTGTCCATGGAGGCCGTGATACTGTCCTTCAAACTAACCTTCTGAGCATCTACCCCATATTCTCTGCTCCAGGCCAAAGGCCACAGAAAGATGAAACTGAAAAATGTTCCTGCCCTCGAGGAGGGACCAGTCTAGGTATAGAGTGAAGGCGAGTCTGCTGTACGAGACAAGGTTATCAGAAGACTGTGAAAGTCTGTGATGCTGACCACTGATGAACAAGAGACAGTGCCATGGGGAAAGGACAGTGACCCAGGGAGGCTTCTGAAGAAGGAGGTACTTGAGGTCATCCAGACTGGAGGGCTAAGATGGGGAGAGAAAGGTCAGGGGCTGTTAGGAGAGGGAGCTGCAGGCCCACAGGGACATGGAGTCCTTTGCAGTGAGCACAGCCAGAGAGGCAGGCAGCCCTAGGAACAATCCAGGCTCAGCGTCCATGCTGGGAATGAGGACAGTACTGTCACTTGGCTATTCACTGTGTGCTTAGTATAAGCCAGGCATGGTGCACTGAGCTTTGGACACATTTAACACTCCCGCTATTTGGTGAATAAATACTATTTGCTCCATTTTACAGAGAAGGGAATTGAGACTGAGAGAGGTCAAGCAACTTTTTTACAATCACAATGCTAGGGATACATCTGAGATTTGAACCCAGGCATTCTGGACTCCTAGACCATGTTTCTAACCAATATGAGAACTTCTTTCGGTGCATAAATGAGACCCTGTATGGGAAAAGTATCCTGCAGGTGCTTGATAAATAGGATTGTGAGCCCAAGTCTGAGTGGGCTGGAATACAATCTCTTAAATGGATTTAGATCGCATGACCTTCAGCCCTACTCTCTTTTCTACAATGTGGACTGAAGACTGTCTGAGACTCGCCTCCTAAGGAAGGAGCCTGCCTCCTGTCTACTCCTCCACCAGCTTCATTCAGCTGCCCTGGGGGCAGAACAAGGCACTATTTTGGCTTCGTTTCCAAAAACGCCACTTCCCAGAGGTGTCCGCCCGGTCAGGGTTTCCGCAGCTGGGCCCCAGATGGAGGAGCACGGGGCTCACCAGATCTTAAAATAAACCTGCCACTGGGAATCCTGCAGCATAAACTCACTTCGCCTTATCAAACAAACAGAAAATAAGTTTGGGCAGGTGCTGTGTAGTTGGATGGAACCTTGAAAATCCACGTTGGGGAAGGGACAGAAGTGAAAGGAGGTTATACACAGAAGCTCCCCTTAGTAATTTCTGACAGTCGGTCCCTTGTCCAGCACCCTGGGCACGTCTTTCATAGCTTTGGAGAAAGCAGAAGAGCCCAGTGTCCCTTATCAAGTACCCTTAGTCACATACATCTCTCTCAAGTCCACATGCAGCCGTCTAACTTCTTGGATAACAAACATTCTATGGCTCCCCATTGCCTGGAGAATAGAGTCCAGACGTCTCAGCCTAAGAAGGGCCAGATCATCAGGTATGTTCTTCTTTGTTCCTACGAACTTTGAACTTCTTAGTGAAAAAAAGTACCCTCTAGAAAAGCCACTGAATAGGTTAGAGGCAGGGGAAGGGATAACGGCTCAGAAAGTATGGCTAAAGAGCTAGACCAGTGTGTGAGGGATCCGGAGTCAAATGGGCAAGTGAATTCATGCCCTCAGGGCCTCAGTTTTCCAATCTGTAGGTGGAGATGATGAGGGTACCAAGAATGTTCATCTCAGAACTCGGCTGAAGGCTAAGGGGAGTGGAGCACAAAGAACCATGATAAGAATGTAAAATATTCATTCTTTTTGATCTAGCAATGGCACATTCAGGAATTCAATAGACAGATATTCATGAACAAACATGGGGAAAAATATAGGTATGAGGCTATTTTTTGAAGCATCATTTATAATGGTAAAAATATCAGAAATAACACATCTTTCTATTCAGAGGGGAATGGCTATGTATGTTAAGGCATAGGCACCAAATAGAATACTAATCAGTCCTTTCCAAAAGAAGGAAGTAACTCTAAAACTCAGGTCCCACAGGTATAAATTGGGGACATTTAAATCAACCCCACTCCATAGAGTTGCTGTGGGGACTCAGTGAGCTGGAACACATAAAGTATTTATCAAGATGAATAGAGGAGAAAAACAGCATTTTTCCCCCTCCATACACTCTGGTTTGTTTCTTTCTTTTCCCCAAAGAAGTGCATTTTCCTTTCGTGACTTAAAATAAGCCATTTCCATGTTTGTCAATAAAAAAGAGTATGAAAAACAGATAGGTGATAGAACTTGGTAGGGGAACAGAAATGTATCTGAACTTAAAAACAGAAGTCTGAAAACGCCTGTCCCAGGGTACATTGCTTAGAGACTTTGCTGCTATCAGAATCTTATGGGGAAGGACCAAAGGGTTTCCGTTTATCACAAATGCTCTGTCTCAATTAGCTCATGTCTAGAGTCAGCCCCTCTTGGCTTCCTGCCTCCACACATTTCCCCTCCCGACATCTGAGCTCCAGGACCAGCCAGCCCATCTTGTTCTTCAGTTCCCATTTTATCAGCAGAGAGGACTTCGGGGATCTCATCACTGTGGAAGCCTGCACCAGCCCCATGCTGTCGGTGCTTGGCCTGGAGTTTGCTAACTGAACTTGTTCGCCAGAACACATTACCCTCTGTAGCATGGAGACTGCAGAGCATGGGGGGTCAAGCCAGGGGGCCAGTGCTGCCCTGTGCCGTGGAACCAGGAGCAAGATGCTGCCCCCACCCCTGCCGCCGCAGCCAGCCTCGTTTTCACCCACTGTAACATAGGGAATAGTGATGTAACCACCTCCTAAAGCTAATGAGGGCATTTAACAAGCTAACCTATGTCTGGTGTAGGGATAACAGAGCTGCCCTTCATAAGAGCCCCTGCCTTTTTGGTTTTTATTAAATAATGATAGTGATACTAATAGTAATAGCAATAAATGATTATATTCACTGTAAAACATGTAGAATATGCCCAAAGTGTTACAAAGAAATAAACATCCCCCTAAACTCATTACCTAGAGATAATACAATTAGTATTTAGTACATAGGTCTATGTGTGTGTATACATATATTGCATGTGAATATTTATAATTCTTATTATCAGAAACACATTTACACCATATGTATATACATACATTTATACATATATATGTATAAATGTACATATGTCTATGTATATATAGAGAGATACACACACACATACATATACACATATACACACACACGTTTATATGCCAGGTCTTACACGGTACAAGGCTCTGTGACCATCTTCACTTTAAAGAGTTAACAAATAATCCTATGAATTATCATTTATTGAGCACTGGTTTTGGTACCAGGGACAGTTCTAAATCCTTTATCTGCATGACTACACCTACTATCACACAAGGTGGGTGTGATTACCCTCCGTGGTGTCCAGGAAGTAAGTGAGGCTTGGAGAAGTACCTTGCCTAAGGTCAAAGGCTAACGCAGGGAGGCGTCACGTTCGGTGCCTGCACTCCCGAACTTCGTGCTCTGCACCACCATGTTCCTCCGCTTCTGTTTACACCTCTCTTGCATCTTCTACGTTATCGTTAGCGGCCATATAATGTTCTATCATACGGATGCCTTGTGATTTATTTCAACAATCCATGCTCACTGGACTTGCAAGCAGTTTCTAATTTTTCACGCATATAAGCATTTTTTTCTTCATGCCTGGCAGAGAGTAAATACCTAATTGATATTTGGACAATGAACATTGCTAAGAACATTCTTATGATTAAATCCTTAAACAAATCAACAGATTTCTTTCCTTCGGATATATTCCTAAGAGCTGGGATGGCAGGGTCGAAGCAGATGTGCATATTGAAAGGCTTTGACACGCAGAACAATGGTAACAAGACACTTGCTCCTGCAGGCTGGACAAGGCCTGGTTTCTGCACTCTTGAGGAAGCCCTGACTAGAGGGTGCTCTTGGGAGGCCTCCTATGGCCTATCATCTTCAGGAAGTATAGTCTGGGCTTCTGCTCTTCATCTGCCCAGGACTTATCCAGCAGCTCAAGATGACCATAAGCTCCTGGTGCTGAACTAGGGCATGCCCCCATCACCTGCCTGGTGTTTGCTGGAGCTGAGCACTTGGGACCCTCCCCACCTGCCTTAGCATCAGAAAGAGAGCCAGATGTTTATTGATCAATAGCACAGGCTCTGCAGTGAAAAAGGCTTACCTTCTTCTTCTTGTGCGACCCTGGGCAAGTTACCTAAGCTACATTAAACCAGAATTTCTGCATCTATAAAATAGGTTCAGTAATAATAGTCCTTATTTTGAGGATTCTACAAGAGAAGCCTATGAAGCACTTCACACAGTGTGCGGTGTATCCTAGGCACTCGATAATGATTGTAGACCTGTGCTGACCAATATGGCAGCCACCAGCCAGGTGGGGTTATTTCAATTTCAATTAATTAAAGTTCCTGAAGATGAACAATTCAATTGCTCAGTCTCACAAGCCATACTCGAAGTGCTCATGAGCTACATCAGGCCAGTGGTGATCACACTGGACAGCATGGACACAGGACATGCCCATCTTTGCAGAAAGTTCTACTGGACAGCACTGTTCTAGACTCTTCGCTCTGTGAGTTACCAGGCCTGAGGAAGAAGCACCCAGGAAGGAAGGAAGGAAGGAACTCGGAGCCGTTGACCCAGCAGGGTCTCCACCCTCTGGCCTTGACTGCACAGCCCCTGTGCATAGCTCTCCCTGGTCCTGAGAACCCGATCCTGTTCCGCATTTTGAATTTCATCCAGCTGCTTTTGTCACCTCATCTATCAGAGATCCTAAGGAAAACAAACATTTCAAAGCTCGTGGTCGCCTTGAATATGCTTTTGCGGGTGTAAGTTTGTTATCGTAGCTCAGTGAATTAGTTCTGCTGTTAATGGGTCACTGAGCTGAGGGGTTCCTTTAAAAAAACAACAGTAAATCAATCACCCTTTAGATCTGTACAAAGGGGAACAAAAAAAAGATTTAGTTTATGGGGGTCTGGTAGCTAGTGGCAGCTCCGAGGCCCCTAAGTGTCCGGCAAACTTCCAAATTCATGTTATTGTTTATTTTCCATGTGCGTCGAGCTGGCCAAGAAAAGGTGCTACAGAAATGGAACGTAAGCAGGGCTGTGTGAGGGGACAGGGCACCGGATGTGGGATGTCGGCTTGGCTGGGAAGGGGAGTCCAGTGGGAAATCTGCTTTTGAGGAAATACCCAGCACTGTGGTCTTTTTAAAAGACCTAAACCTAAAGACCCCTTTCTGGTGCCAAGGTTGGGTTGTTGACCCTCCCGGAGACCTCGGGTTTGAATGATAGGAGCCTTAAACTGCAGAGGCCCCCAGAGGTCATCAGCCCACATGGGAAAGCAGGAAGATCTATTGGGGATTATCAAATTCATGGGGTTTCAGCAGCAAAATCCTCTCTTCAAATGCAATCTGAGGCAAAAACCAAAGAAGAAATGGAAAACTGTAGGAAGAGGGCTTTCCTAGTTCAAGCAGAGATGGAGACCTACAGCCCCACACAGGAGTAGAAGAAAAAAAAATGTCTGGAGTCAGATATGTGACCTGGGACAAATGACTTTAGTGAACCACAGTATTACCATCTGTAAAATGGGGATAGTTTCTACCGCACACATTTGTTGTGAGTTAAATGAGATAGTGTGTACTAATGTCCTTTATGAACCATAAACTTTTATACAAGGAGAAATATTAGAATTGATAAGAATCACTTTTTTAAACCTTTATGAGAATTTATTCATTTTCTTCCCTCTCTGCCTCTCTCTCTCCCTCCCTCTCTTTCTTCTTAACAAATATTTATTAAGCACCAGGCTCTGTGCTAGGTGCTGGGAATATAGTGGTGCATTAGAGACAATCTCCGCTTTCACAGAACTTGCTGGTTTTCATAGGGTCAAGAGACACCTAAGTCGAATATTATAATAGAATTCGATGCTGGGCTACCATGTGCAATTTGTGGATTGGTTTCTTACACTAGGGTTCCTGGTCTAAGAGGCCAGTAGGGAGGGCTGAGACTGCCTCGGGAAAAGAATGCCTTGTTCTAACTTTCCAAAAATGCTCTAAGGGCTAGAATTGGCCTTGATATATTCTAAAAGAAGTACAGGACATCTTTGAACCCAAAGCATGAGTCCTTAATGCTATTACTGATGGTATAAAAAAGGGCTTTGACAGGATATACGCAGTTAGGAAAAGAATGTACCCCTCTCATGTAATTTCGTATTTGCAAAACCAAAAGCATTCTATTTTTTTTTTTTTGTAATAAAAGAGTAAAGGAGAGTATAAGAGCTTTATATTTAAGAGAAAGTTGCAGTTAAAAAAAAAGAAAAGATAAAGAAAGAGTTGCAGTAACCACCAGCTTAGAAAAATACAACTGCAAAATTAGAGGAACCTTCTCCAAGATTCCTCGGATCCGAAGATTCCATTTTCTTGAGCGAAGGGAGACCCAGAGATGGAATGTGACAGACCCATAGGCACTGGGTGACCCAGTGGTAGAGCTAGAACTGCTATGTAGGTCTCCTGACGTTGGCCCCAGACAGCTCCTTAAAGTGTGTCTTTCTGAGGAGACATCAGATGCAACAGCTCCCATGAACCCCTGAGATCTCACACAAGGACTGTCACATCCTGATTGTCTGGGATGAGGGACTGTTGGGATGAAGAAGTCTTAGAAAAGGAAAGCAGCTTTCCCAAGGCTCCTCTGAGCCAGGACTGGAGCCCGTGGGTGACACCCAGCCGCATGAGCCTGGCCGAGCAGGGAGCCCTACCTGCGTAGCTCATGAAGTTATTGTAAGGGGTGTTGAAGAAGCTATGGAAGCCACAGGTGTCATTCCCTGGCCCCGGGTCACCACAGAGCTTGTGTTTTGGGGCTGGGTTGGTGTCACTGCAGAGGTCTCCGGTCTCAAAGGAGGGCTCCGTCTCCATGCAGGGATCACTGCAAGACTGGATCTCCGAGATGCCTCGAAAGATGTGATAGAGGCCCAGGCTGTGCCCGATCTCATGGATCATGGTGTGGGTGTGCCCAGGAATGCCATAGAAAGACGGATTCAAGACAATGCCACCTGCAAAGGGAAAACCAGAGCATTGAGCAAGTGCAGCACTCTGCTTCCTGCTGCAGAAATCACCCAATCAATCACAGGCAAATGGGGTGCTGCCCAAAGTAACCACAGGCTTCTCCACCCTGTGACTCCACGGCCCCAAGAACTGTTATGACTTGTGATATGCACCACTGATGGGGTAGAAAGAGTCTCAAGAGTCATTCTGTGCAATCCTTCCATTTTTCAGATGAAAACACCAATGCCGAAGAACTAAGACACCCTAACCGAGGTGACCTCAAACTACTTAACAAAGGGGCATGATCACTATTTAAGGACTTTGATTTCTGGACTGGTGGACATTTTTGCTGCCACCTTGTCCTTCAACAGTAAGGCATGCCCTGGTTTACAAACATCCTGCACAGTCTAGTCCAACTGGAGCCCTCATGGTCAGATAGCATGGTCCCAGTCCTCCCTCTGCCCTTGCTAATGCTAGGACGTTGAGCAAGTTGATTACCATCCCTGAATCCCACTTCTTCATCTCTGGTCCCCTCTGAGAGTGAGCACTCATGAGGGCCAGCATCATGTTGAGCTCATCATTATGACAGTGTCATTACAGCCAATGTCTCTTGGGCATTTATCATGTATCCTCAGGCCCTGTGCTCAGGGCTTCATTTGTATAATCACACTTACTCAACTCACGACTCAATAGGAGAGACTGATTCCCAGACTGGTGAAGTAACTGGCTCATGATCAGGAGTTAGGAAAGGTATCACGCTGGGATTTGAAATCCTTAGTTTCCAGAGCCAGGCCTCTTAATGAGTTCTACCATGAGTGCCAATCACAGGGCCTGGAATATGGCATCTCATTACATGTGTATTGAATCTCTGAACATTAGCCCAACGAAAGAAGTTTTCTGAGGTCCACCTAAGCACACGTAAGCAGCTTGCATAGCACCATGACTCAAAATGGGTCAGTGGGTATCTAACTACTCATGACTCGAAGAGTGTCTTGAGAATAAGCAGCAGGACCATCACCTAGAAGGGATTAAAAATGCAGAATCTCAGGCCCTACTGCAGACCTACAGAATCAGAATCTGTATTCTAACAAGGGCCCCAGATGGCTCGTCTGTACATTCTAGTTTGAGAAGCCATGGTCTACCCCCCATGTCTTCGATGACTGAGCATGACTTAGCTTAGGCAGATAGATGGAACAGATTGCAGCAGAATCAATGGACGGCATTTTTCATGTTCATTTTAGGCACTGGAGAAACGCATATAGGCTGGTAGGGAGACACTTAAACTTTAAAATCCAAATGTGTTTAAGAGAAGGTTAGAATTCAGGTCCAAACACTCTGCAAGTCCTGAGTTTAAGTGCAGAGCAGTGTCTTGTAAAGAATGGTGATAAGGCAGAGCCATGTTGATTTGAACTGGCAGGCGTTGGGGGAGTTTTATCTTGGGTTGAACTGCCAGGAGGGCGAGCTTGCTCAGTCATGGGGCTCACGGAGTCTATTAATTCTGAACTGCTCAGAGCCTTCTAGCACAGAGATAAAGATGTATGAGAGGGTGTGTGGGTGTGTGTGCACACGTGTGCATGTGTGAGAAGGGGCAGGCAGAGAGGCAGGGAGGAAGAGAAATTGAGACAGGAAATCTCTCTCAATTATTTTCTGTCAATCATAATATGAAACATAATCCCCTTCCTACCCAAGGCTTTTTCCAGGGATCATGGCATCACAGCAGGAAAAGAAGGTAAAAATATATGTATGCTTCTAATAAGTTGGGTTTGATTGGGGTTCGTATGGAGTAATTGCTTCTGGCCAACATTTCTCGGGATGGGGAGATGGCAGGCTGGGGGCTGGGGGCCCTGGGCAGTTAGCAACCCTCATTCTGCTTGCCCCCGGCTGTGTGATCTTGGAAAAGTGACTTTGCATCTCTGTTGAGCTCTAAAATAAAGAGCTACAACAGTGCCAATGATACTGTTTCTCCATGAGGGTTCAACATGGAGGCACTGGGCAGGGGGGTAGGAAGGTGCAGGACCCCACAGGTATTTCCAGGGATAATGACAGGATTGTAGACTTGATGTCCGGGCCAGCTTTGTTTGCTTTACCTCATCCCCTCCAACTCACCCCTTTGCACAGAGCTACAGCACAGAGCCCGAGTCCTGTTTCACTGCTTCTCTTAAAAGGTGAAATAGTTAGAGCCTGACATCATCCTGAAACACTAGAACATGCTATGGATTTATAGCCTTCTGTATTCCTGGTCCTGAGCCAGTCTCGGAAATTCACGGAACCAACAGGAGTATTTTTCTCTAACTTTAGAAGCTTTCTAAGACTCTGATCAAGAGCCTTTCAGTTGCTTTTCCAATAGGACAGCATTTCAGTGTTGAGAACTGTCCTTGAAGACCATCTAGTCTAACCTGTTCATTTAAAATCTGACTAAATTGGGACTTGGGGAAGGAAAGAGACTTGCCTAAGGCCATACTGCCAAGTAGAATCAAAGCTGAGAACAACCCTGTGTATTGCTCTGGGCCAGTAGGATTCCCATATGTCATACCAGGAACACTATAGAAACAAATTGTCTACCTTCAAGTGTGTCTAAGTTGCATGGTCTTTTCTGCCCAACCTCTGTCTGTCTGTCTATCCAACCATCATGAGGGTTTCTCTACCTCAGCATGACTGACACTTTGGACTGGATAATTCTTTCTTGCTAAATCTGTAGATTTAGCAGCATCACTGTCCTCTACCCACTAGATGCCAGTAGCATTTCCCCATTTGTAACAGCCGGAACTATTTCTAGACACGGCCAAATGTCTCCTAGAGGATAAAATTCCCCCAGTTGGGAACCACTACAGATTTCTCATTGTCTCCAGCTCTATTTATACCACAACAACACACTAGCATGCATGTACTTGCACGCGCACACACACACTCACACAGGGGTTTCATTCCCTTAAAAACAAGTGGGAAATGAGAGCAGTGTAGAGGGAACTAATTCTAGAGTTTGAAGTCTCTATCAGGTGAAGCTGCAGAGTCCCTCATTTCCAAGATACCACAGATTGAAGACGGTGACCAGACCCTGGGTGTATCACTGGGGGAGCAGCGGGCCTTGGCAAACACCAAGACTGTCACTCTCCTGAGCCCTAACCTCCCCAGATGAAGATGCTCAACAAGGGAGGCATTGCTATCCATTGGTATAAACAACAGGAACATTCTATCAAGGGAAAAAAGGTTGAACACGTTGTAGTGCCCTCACTCAATGGAATATTGTGTGGTCATTAAAAAACATCACCTTTAGAGAGATGGAAATAACCCAGAAGGATGCTTTTGTCTTGTGATGTGAAGTGAAAAAGTTGGGTGGGAAGTGATTAGGAAAACTGCTACCATGTGGAATAATATAGGTAGCATAATATGAAGTAAAAGAAAGAACATAAAATTTTATGTTCTAAAATTTTATATATTTGCTTTCAAATATGGACAAGTTACCAAAAAAACACACGCACATACAGACGTGTACTGGAAGAGAGCACAGAAAAATCAAAATTAAAGAGCTACACTGTTTACTTACTGGGCCTGGTTCAGAAACCATTGTCTTTTCTGACTCTTGGTGATGGGTTTGTGTAAATATATGCCTGGCTTATGGATATGAATACTTTGGATGTAAGAAGAGTTCCTGGTGGTGTTGGTGGACCACGGAGGAACAAGGAGTTCTTAACGAGCTCACTTTCTCTTGTCTCTTTGGTATCTCTCAAGCCAAGCCCTGACTGGCTGTGTCAGCACCGTGTGGTTGCTGGGCTGGGAAGATATTTGCATGCGCTAAGAGGCAAGGGGTAGAAGAAGAAAGCTATCAATAGACAGAGCTGGAGACTTGAACTCCAAATGTGGCTCAGCCACGGACTTGTGTGTGACCCTGGATAAGCCTCGTTCCTTCTGTGGGTCTCAGTTTCCCCATCGGCAAAACAGGGCTAATGATATCATGTTATTTTCTTCAGAGCAATGCTTGGTGGCTGAGATGAGATAAGAAATGCTAAGGAGTTCTGTAAACTGAAAAGCAGTAAAGAGATTGTTCACCATCACCACTACCATCACCATCGTCATGGTCATGATCACCATCACCATTATCATCACCACTAAAGTTATTCCTGTGCTAATCCAATTTCCTCCTGAAGAAGTTTCTAATTCTCACCTAAGTGCATTAGGGCCTCCTTGTCCCATGGCCAAGTTGCTACTCCTGCCAATTCCTCCTCCGAGGAGTTTGCAAAGAAGATATTAAGGTGTGTTGATCCATCCAGTCTAAGAATGTTCTTCAGTTCATTAACATCCAAGTATGCTCTGTAACAGAAAAAGAACCTTGGCTGTCATCACCATCCAAAAAAGGTACTATTCAAATAACAGCTATTCCCCCGAGTAGTTAAGAGCTACTATGTGCCAGGTACTTTGCTAAACACTTTATACACATCACCTCAATGACTTCCCCCAATAATATTATAAGGTAAGTGGAGATGATCCCATTTTACAGCTAAGAAAATTAAGTCCTTATAAGTTGAAGAGACATGACAAGTTTGCTCAGCTTATAAATAGCAAAGTTCAGTTTAGAGTGTACATTTACTTAAAATCAACATCTTTGCCCTTAAGGACTTTGCTATCTTGCCTGATGAAAGGGCCCCACAATGAGGATGCAAATCAAGAATACAGACTATGAAAAAGACAACATGCCTTCTAGTCTTGGCTTCTTTTCTGCTTCACTCATTCACTATGGACGTCAGACCATTTATTTGGCAAATATGGAGCTGCACTAGGAGGCCTGCTTTACCTCTCTATACCAACCTTGCAGAGAGGCATTATTGCTCTGTTTTCAAGATAAGGAACATGTGGCCCACATGTGATTAAAAAGGTTGCCCAAAGTTGCAGAACTGGGTTTCAGGGCCAATTCTGTCTACCTTGGAAACCTATGATCTTGTCACTGGGCATCACGCTGCCCCCACCCCCCAGATGATTCTGCATTCTGTAAGCCTCTATTTATTTGTCTGTAAAATGGACTCGGAGAGGGATGTTGTATTTGGAGTGGCTGCCACTTAGACTGACGGATCAGGAAAGCAAACTAACTCTCCATTATCATCATCAGCTCTTTAATACGTAGAATGATCACAGGTTGCTGAGAGGAAGAAATGGTCTTTGGAAAGAGACTGGGCACCTCCTAGGTGCTCAGGAAGAACTCCTCCTTCACAAAGTATGAACTCTCCTATCACCACTGAAATGCTAAAGCTTTCCATCAGTCACAGGCATATTACTCAACGGATCATTTTCTAAATCGACAGAGGCATCTAGCTCCCCTCTCTTGAGTCTCTCAGCCTCCATTTTATGTCTGCTGTCATGTATCCTTGTGAGCAGCTGACAATCATTTCTTGAGTAAGGTTGGAAATGAATCAATGAATAAAAACATACATAAACAAGCAAGTAGGCAGCTTGATGTAGTAGGTGAGATGAAGCCTACGAATAATGATATTTAATGTCTGATGGGCCCTTCTATGTGGTCCAACTTTACATGGATTATCTCCTTTAATCAATCTTCTTTTTTTTTTTTTTTTTAAAGATTTTATTTATTTATTTATTTGAGAGAGAGAATGAGAGAGAGAGAGCACATGAGAGGAGGGAGGGTCAGAGGGAGAAGCAGACTCCCTGCCGAGCAGGGAGCCCGATGTGGGACTCGATCCTGGGACTCCAGGATCATGACCTGAGCCGAAGGCAGTCGCTTAACCAACTGAGCCACCCAGGCGCCCCTTAATCAATCTTCTTAATAAGACCAAGGTAGGTAGTATTATGATGCCTATATTCTGGAGGAGGGAAAAGAGACTTAAGCTTCAGACCTTGCTAAGGTCACACTGCAGGTTGGAAGTTGTTTCCTTTTTCATAATGCTATCTGTCCCTGAGGGGTTGACACAAATCCTGGCTGGTAGAATACTTATGACAGTTCCCTTCTCCTTCCCTCCTGGGGTTATAGAAGGGCCTCCTGTATGTGAAAGAGTAAGTCCAAGGTCCCCAGCATGGCCTCCAAGACGCTGCCTCCCTCTCTAGCCCCATCTCTCTCGGCTCCCTCTCCTGAATCTCCCACTGTGGGTTGGGGGCACCCACCATGATGCATTATTCGTGGCGCCTTCACTCACGCCGTTTCCTCTGTAAGGGACTCTGCTCCGCATTTTGTCCTCTGATGAACAAATCCAAAGCCCATGCTGGTACCGCTCCTCAAGGAAGGCTTCCCTGATTCCCATCTCTCCTCCACCTCCTTTACCATCTCTACAGTCATCCACCTCCTATAAGTACGTGCACTCACACCATTCCAAATCATCACTCCACCTGTCTATATCCACCACTGTCTGTGGCTCCCTGGGGCAAGGCATGTTCCTTATCCATTTCTGTTTACCCGGTTCTCAGTATAGGGCTTGCCTCCGGGTGAGCACTCAGTAGACGTCGATGGGGTTGAATTTACATTGGGAAAGAAAAAAGCTAAAATATTTAGGTGCCGGTCTCCTTCCTATGAGGCCTCAGTTTCCTTTCTAATAGACTAGGATTAGCAGCAGCTACTTAGGGCTTCCCAGAGCATTCCTACGGGTCACAGACCCACACCTCTACTCCAATGGGAATGGATACATTTGAGACCTAGAGAGCCCTCCTCGTCCCCGACATCATCAAGAGCCCATAATTGATCATGTGACCATAATTTTTTTCTGGCTTTTCAAAAAAAGGTGAACATGAGTTAGAGATACAGACAGGGCCAAAAGAGGTCATAGCCATGTCTGGCTTGAGCTGAACAATTTCAAGATGGCCACACGCTCAGATATTGACCCGAAATCTTGCTGCCATGCTTTCTCTCCCTGGAAATCCTAACCTTCACCTTCTTAGCCTGGAAGCCTCATAAGGAGTTTTGGCCAGTCTACTCTGTGATCAGAGAAGGAAAGAAGAAAGAAAACTAACATTTATTAAACACTTGCTGTATGCTAGCCCCCGTGCTAGCAAACACCTGTCATCCCATCTCTGCAGTATTTGAAGTTATGCAGCATCATGGGTAGGATGACTTGCTCTCAAGCCAGAGTCCTGGGTTTGAATCCAGCTCCTCCTCCCCAATGTGTGGGTCACCCTGGTCAATGTACTTCACTGCCTGGGCCCCAGTGTCTATACACACAAAACAGTCTACCTCATCGGGTTCCCCAGAGGATTTGGGACGTAATAAAGGAAGCATAAAGGACTTAGGACAATACCTGGCATATAGAAAAGCTCAATCAGTGTTTAGCTATTCCTATTATTTATCCCCATCTTACAGATGAAGGAACAGGGGTTCAGAGATCACATAAATAGTGACAAAGCCAAGCACAAATCTTGATGTGTCCAATTCTTTCCACAGCCTCACTCTCATTTCCAGGCTCACGCAGGGACACGGTGCAAAGGGAAACAATGCGTGGGCGAATGAAAACAAAGAGAAGCCGAGATTTTCTTGGATCAGCCCTTCCCACATTATTTATTTTTTTCTAATTGATTTGTCCATTTCCATCAAGCATTCTCTCAGGCGGAGAACACAGATGTTATTAGACAAAGTCATCTCTTTGCCCTGCCGCTCTAGGCCGAGAAAGCTTCGTAAGAGGAAGAGATGGGGTAAGGTGGGGCGGGGGAGACATTTTAATTGGTTGTTTATTCAGTTGTAATTGCAGAAGCCAATCTTTTCAAGGGGTGGTACTCATCCTGGCCCAAGGCAGACATGTGGGATGTTGGAGCCTCTCCCTTGCTTGTATGTGGGGGTTTTTTTTCACACTTTGAGAAGCCTCCATTTCCCCCAAGAGGAAGAATCCATGGAAGCCATCCAGGTTCTTGGCCCCCCAGGCCTCTCTTTTCTCCATCTCTTTTGGGGGGGGCCACCCAAAGAAAAACAGCTCTGTGGCTAAGAACTTTCCTTCTGTGGGCGGAGGTCTTCCCACCAATTCAGAGCCAAGCTGGGTGTCTCCCGAATGCATCAAGGGAAAATCTCGGAGCGGGGGGCAGGAGTCCATGTGGGTATTTTCTTCTCTTCCCCTACCTTGAGAATGTTTAATCCCTCCTGCCAACGAATGGAGGTGAAAGCACAGAAGGTCAAATAGAGATGGGTCATCAGAGTCTAGGGAGATTGGTAAAGAGGGAAGGAAAAAGACTTACCCAGGGCCCCTTGGCTTTCCATTTTGTACCTGTGGGAAGGTTAGCCTCATGTGTATATTGCAAATTGGTCAAATCTATTTAAAAATATTGGGGTGCCTGGGTGGCTCAGTCGTTAAGTGTCTGCCTTCAGCTCAGGTCATGATCCCAGGGTCCTGGGATTGAGCTCCGCATTGGGATTGATAAGGGGCACCTGGGTGGCTCAGTCGTTAAGTGTCTGCCTTCAGCTCAGGTCATGATCCCAGGGTCCTGGGATTGAGCTCCGCATTGGGCTACCTGCTCAGTGTGAAGCCTGCTTCTCCCTCTCCCACTCCCCCTGCTTGTGTTCCCTCTCTCTCTGTGTCTCTCTCTGTCAAATAAATAAAAAATCTTTAAAAAAATAAAAATAAAAAATAAAAAAATCATTACCCATGCTCCATGAAAATCAATACAAATACAAATCTCGATGTGTTTATTAATTTAAATGCCAATACTACTCAGAGCTGGATGTCCATGGGCAAGTTGCTTTACCTCTCTGTCAGTTAGCAGACCGGCAGGATTCAATGGCACAGCTCAGCACAGCCTGCGCCCACAATCGCCTTTATGCTCTGGTCTCCTATTTTCTCTTACTGGGGAAAAACCTAAACTGTCTGCCTCTGGGTGGTTCTCAGGATCTCAGCTTCCCACATCTCATCCCCACCACCCAACCTTCTTCTTCCTCCAGCAACCTCAACCTCAAGTTCTCATGGTGTCCTCATCTCTGGAGCTTCTGGGTTCCCTCGATTATGCCCACTCCTCACGCATGCCCATTGGTTTCCCTCCTCTGCTTCATGACTTTCCTTCTGGAGTCTCTGCCTCTTAAAATCTTATCGTCCCTGCAAAGTCCAGCTTCCATCCACTCTTGACCACCCTCACCTATAAAATGGGAGGATGACAGTCACCTCTCAGAAGGTCAGAGGCCACACAAAGAAAGTGCCTCACGCAGTGCCTGATGGGTAGAAGGCACACGTTGATTAGCATAAGCTATTGTTGTTACATTATTGTTATCACACTGGTAATTATTAGCAGCACCAAAATCATCATGCCTCTAGCTGACAATGACTTCTCCCTCCTCAGAGCCTCCCCCTTCTGATTCTAGTACTCCTCACCCTGCTTTGCTTTATCTTCTCCATGAG